GGCTGAGGCAAGAGAATTACTTAAGCCCGAGAGTTTGAGGTTGCTGTGAGCTGTGACACCACAGCACTCTACTGAGGGCAACATAGTGAGACTATGACTCAAAAAAAAGGGAAAAAAAGTTTAAAATAAAAAGGCTCTGAGAAGTCTAGCTTGGACAATTGGTATAACAGTTACACGGTGCTGTCCAGAGGATGGAACAGGATTTGGAAGTAGAAAGAGAATTGGCTGCTAAGCCTGAAAGACCTCTGTTCAAGCCCTTGCCTGCCACTTACTAACAGTATGATATTCATGTGGAGTGGCTTAATCCTTTTGAGCCTCAGTTTCCTCCTCTGCAATGGGAGGTGCTAAGAATTGGGGAATGTATATAAAGTACTTACGAACTTGTCAATATAAGTGATTACTTAATAATAGTATCTTTTATTTAATATTATTAAAAGAATAGATTTGAGGTAAGATAAATTATAGACACACTGAACTTGAAATGTTATGGGTTTTCCAGATAAAGAGATTCACTAAATTCTGGTCTGGATAGAAAAAGCACTATACATAAAAAGAAAAAGTTGGCAAACTGGACTTCTTCAAAATAAAAAATTCCTGCTCTTCAAAGACTATCATAAAGAAAATAAATAACCAAGGCTGGGCATGGTGGCTCATACCTGTAATCCTAGCACTCTGGGAGGCTGAGGCAGGTGGATTGCCCTGAGCTCACAATTTTAAGACTAGTCTGAGCTAGAGCAAGACCCTATCTCAAAAAAATAGCCAGGCTTTGTGGTGGGCTCCTGTAGTCCCAGCTACTCAGGAGGCTGAGGCAAGAGGATCACTTAAGCCCAAGAGTTTGAGGTTGCTGTGATATGTGATGCTATGGCACTCTGCCAAGGGTGACAAAGTGAGACTGTCTCAAAAAACTAAAAAAGAAAGAAATAACCAAGCCATAGACTTGGAAAAGTACTTGCGTTTGCAAGTGATGATGTCAACATGGTATAAAAAAAAATTGCTTAGTTTTTACTTCTTTTAAATTGTCTTAAAATGTGTTGAATAGGCTGGGTGCAGTGGGTCATGCCTGTACTCCTAGCATTCTGATCTCAGTAGTTCGAGACCAGATTGAGCAAAAGTGAGACTTCATCTCCACTAAAAATAGAAAAACTAGCCAGGTACTAGCTAAGTATTGTGGAAGAGGCCTGTAACCCAGCTACTGAAGAGGCTGAGGTAAAAGGATCACTTAAGCCTGAGAATACTCTACCCAGGGTCACAGGGTGAGACTCCGTCTCTTAAAAAAAAAAAAAACAAGGCCGGGCATAGTGGCTCATGCCTCCTAGCAGTCTGCAAGGCCGAGGTAGGAGGATTGCTTGAGCTTACATGTTCGACACTAGCCTGAGCAAGAGCAAGACTCCGTTCTCCACTAAAAATAGAAACACTGAGGCAAGAGGACTGCTTGAGCCCAAGAGTTAGAGGTTGCTGTGAGCTATGATGACTGATGATGCCATGGCACTCTACCCAGGGTGACAGCTTGAGACTGTCTGGGGAAAAAAAAAAGTGTCAGATAGAATACTAAAGTATTTAAGGGGAAAATGATTTGATATTTGCCTTAGAATTTCCCAGGAAAAGAAAGAAAGAAAATTGGGGTGGTGGGAAAGAATGATGAAAAATTATGAGTTGACAGGTGAGAGTCACATAAAGATGTGTTGTACTCTTTTGTGTATAATTGGAATTTTAACCATGAAACATTAAAAAATAAAAAATGAGAAAAATGGACAAAAGACTTGAATGTATAATTCACAAAAGATAAGCAAATGGCCAATAAGCATATGGAAAAGTGTTCAACATTGTTAGTCATCAGGGAAATTGCAAACTAAAGTCACAATGAGGTTGGGTATGGCTCAAGACCTGTAATCACAGCATTTTGGGAGGCTGAGGTAGGAGGACCACTCAAGGTGAGGAGTTTGAGACTAACCTAAGGAAGAGTAGACCTCATCTCTACAAAAAGCAGAAAAATTAGCTGGGCATGGCAGCAGGTACCTGTCGTCTCAGCTACTTGGCTGAGGCAGGAGGATCACTTGAGCCCAGGAGCTTGCAAATGCAGTGAAATATAACAACATCACTGCACTTTAGTCTGGGTGATACAGCAAGACCCTGTCTTAAAACAACAACAACAACAAAAAAAAAAAAAAACAGAAAAAACAAATACCCCACAATGAGAAACTATCCTACATGTGCTAGAATGGTTAAAAAGCTCTACAAAAAATTAAATGTTGGTGAGGATGCAGAGCACCTGGAACTTTCACATATATACAGTAGTCTAATTACTTTAGATGACTGTTAAGCACTCCCTTATAATTCTACCCCAAGGTAGTATCTACCTAAGGGAAATGAATCATTTATCTATGACAAGATTTATACATGAAGGTTCATAACAGTCTTCCTTATAACAGATAAAAATCTGGGAACTCAAATGTCTACCATCAGAAGAATGGACAAACAACTATATTCATAAAACTGTGAATTAGTCAGCAATAAAAACTATGATATATGCGATCACATGGGAGAATCTCAAAATGTTGAGTAAAATAAGCCAGGCACAAAAGAATACCTACAGAATGATTCCATCTGTATCAAGTCCTACGACAAATGAAACAAATCTACAGTGATAGAAAGCAGAATGGTAGGCGCCTCTGGGAGATGGGAGTGCAAAGGAGTTGAAGTAGGCATGAGGGAACTTTCTGTAATGATGAAAATGGTCTATATTTGGTTTTAAGTAGTGGTTGTATGAGTGTATACACCTGTTAAACTGCTTTTAAATTCTACTAAAATTATGCTCATCAACTACAACATGTTTGGCACTCAGGAAGGAGTTAGGAATTAGAAATTAGGAAGTTAAGGGAATGGATGATGGTTGAAGTTCAGAGTAGAGGTTAGCAGAGCAGCAGGTAACTTCTCCTCAGAGCAGAGGAAGAATGCAGAATAAGAATAAAAGACAGCAGACGATGGACTGTAGGCAAAACATATTTCAGGATTAGATTCATAAAGAGGAACCCAAGGCTAAAGAGAAACTTATCAGAGACATAAGAAAATGGCAGGCTCTCTAACACCAAAGGAGAAGATAACTCAGCAGAAGTTCATCAATGTTATGAAAGAGTGAGAAGGAAAGAATCCAGCAAATTTGCCAGCTAAAGAGAGCGAATGAGATTCTATTTTCCTTCATGATAAAATTTATAAAGCCTGTATTTTCTTCAATTACATATTTTTGCTTTAATTAATATAAGCATGTGCTATTTTGTCAGGAGTTTGCCAAGCTCTACAAACCACTACAATCTTAAGAGGTAGATACTCTTATTTTCTCAAATTTTTAGATAATGAGACTAAAGTTCAGAGAATCTAAGGAAATTGCATAAGGTCAATGGTGACAGGACCAGGGTAGACCAACTCATTCCTTTAATCCTGAATGTCTACCTCATGCCTGGTCTGTGCTAGAAATTGGGATACGGCTCAGCGCCTGTGGCTCAAGCGGCTAAGGTGCCAGCCACATACACCTAAGGTGGCGGGTTCATATCCCCAGCCTGGGCCCGCCAAACAACAATGATGGCTGCAACCAAAAAATGGCCAGGCGTTGTGGCGGGCACCTGTAGTCCCAGCTACTTGGGAGGCTGAGGCAGGAGACTCGCTTGAGCCCAGGAGTTGGAGGTTGCTGTGAGCGTGATGCCATGGCACTCTACCCAGGGGGATAGCTTGAGGCTCCGTCTCAAAAAAAAAAAAAAAAAAAAAAAAAAAAAGAAATTGGGATCCAAAAATGAATGGTTGAGTTTGACGAGAAACTAAAAGTAGTTGCTGGATTTGGCAAGACTATAAAGAAACCTGGAGAAGAGCTAAGGGGCCAATAAAAAATTTTTAAAGGATGGGAGCTACTGGAGCTTGTTAGTATGCTACTGCAAACAATTCATTAGAAAGGAAGACACTGACCCTGTCCAGTGGAAAGGAGATGATCAAAGGAGCTAGAGAAGTGAGAGGGGAGTGGTATCCAGGCATTTCCATCCACTGAGCAAACAAATGATGTATATAGGACAGGTGACTCCCCACAGCAGCCTGAGGTAGCAGGAAGGCATAAATGCTGAGTTCAGATAAGGGGTCACATAGGTGGCAGTGAAGACATAGGCTCAAAAGTCACCCAACAGGGAAAGGATGTGGTTCTTACAGTAGGAACCCAGACCCTGCTGTTTTGCCCCCCCCCACACACACACTTAATGCCACCATCCCTCAGAAGCCTATGGTGATACAAATTTAGAAATGAAACTCACTTCATCCAGCAATTTGCTTCCCTCTGGATCCATCTTAGAAAGTTTTCGAAACGCTTCATCCCCAACAAAGCAAATTTCATGGCCATCCTATACCAATAAAGAGAAAAGAGATTTGGTAAAAGACATTTCCGAAAAAAAACCCAGGCACTGCCTATGCCCTACCTAAGTAATACTTACAGGGTCAGCCAGAATGACCACTTGCACTGTCGCTTTCCCTGGGGTATCAAGGCTCACCAGAGGAGTCAGAATCTTCTGGTTCTCCCTTTTCATCAAGTCTTCTAAGTCTGGCAACTTGTGGAAAACACAGAGGTAAAGTGAGTAAAGGGTCACAAAGTGCTCTTATGGCACAGCATTCATCAGCCTTAGAGGAGTATTTCATCAGCCATAAAGAACCAAGGCGCCACTTGTTTGATTTTATTATCTCAGCCACTTTTGAAATAACTATTGAACTTGATACCAAAGCCATAATCAGAATGAACTGCAAGAAGGAAAGGGCAAGATTCTTAGCTGGGTTGACCTTGCTAGTCACAGAGCTTAAACAAAAGATCTGGTATCAAACATTACCTCCTTTTGGGGGCAAGAAAAAGCAATTCTTCCAAACGCTGTTGCATGATCAACTGCACCCTTGATGGCCTGTAGCTCCAGCTTACACTGAAAAGAAATCAGAAAGCGGGTTTATTTTTTCGAATAGGTTATACACGTATGTGCTTTAAAAAAAAAAAAAAATTCTGGGCGGTGCCCGTAGCTCAGTGGGTAGAACACTGACCACATACACCAGGGCCAGCAGGTTCGAACCCAGCCCAGGCCAGGTAAAACAATGACAACCTCAACCAAAGGGGAAAAAAAAATAGCTGGGCATTGTGGCAGGTGACTGTAAGTCTACTTGGGAGGCTGAGGCAAGAGAATTAATTGCTTGAGCCCAAGAGTTAGAGGTTGCTGTGAGCTATGATGCTACAGCACTCTACCCAGGACAACAGCTTGAGACTCTGTCTCAAAAAGAAAAAAAAAAAAATTCCAAACATTATGCTAAAGGAATAAAGCAAAAACTATGCCCTTTCCCTATTTTCACCCCAGAGAGAACTAGTTAACAGCTTCCTGTGTATCCTTTTAGACACACTGCTAGATACATACAGCTTTTACACAAATGCTGGAGTAATTTAAAAATTATTCTGTTCTTTATTTTCCTGCACTTACTGTTACCATATCAGTACATTAAAACTTGCCTCAGTCTTTTTGATAGCTTCATAGTAATCCATTCTAGGGATGAACAATAAATTATCGACATACTCCTCTAATCCACAGACACTGACGTCCTTCAAGTTTGCTATCACAAATGACGCTGCAACACATAACCTTGTACACACTTCTCTCTGCATATGTGTACTGAGAATATGTAAAACAATTCCTAGGAGTAGAATTGGTGGGTCAAAGTACAAGGACTAAATCATGCTCAAATACTAGGTTATTTTTTAAGAAATGAAAATATGGCATGCATTAAATCTTGTTTACATCTCTTCTGATTAAGCAATTCTTCTGAAAAGATGTATCCCTAAATATAAACACAGGTAGAATGGGGGGGAGTAATCACTAATCTTTATTTTCTTCTTTCTGTTTATAAATATCGAGTTACTGAACAAACTTTAGGAACAACCTCCATGTTAATTTCATATTATAAGCCAATCTCAAAGTATCAAGTTAGTTATTTCTTTCGAAGCTTATTCACCTGGTTATCAGCATAGCCCAGTACAGCCCTTTGCTTCTCTTCATCTTTTTCATAAATTTTCATTCCCAGTAAATTAGACCAGTAGTTCAAGGACTTCTGAAGATCAGACACTGTTAGAGTTACTTTTAAAACAGGATCTGTTGTGTAATAAAACAGCAGGAATAGACAAGTAAATTCAATAGAATAGAATAGAAAGACCAAAACAGGCTCACGCAACATAAGAATTTAGTTTATGATAAGAAAGGGATTTTAAGATAGTGTGAAAGAGCACATTACTCACATTATTCAATAAATGGCACTAAGATTACTGGTTCACCATTTGGTGGGAAATATTTATACCTTTGAACTAAATGATAAAATATATTCCTGATGGGTTAAAGGGTTAAGTTCAGAGAATGAAACCATGAAAATATTAAATACATAATTATTTATAAAATTTTGGCAGGAGGGAGAGTTCTCTTTAAACCTGACAACAAAAAGAAAAACTGTGAAGAGGGCCAGGCATGGTGGCTCATGCCTACAATCCCAACAATCTGAGAGGCCAAGGTGGGTGGATTGTTTGAGCTTGGGGGTTTGAGAATAGTCTGAGCAAGAACACCACCCTATCTCTAACAATAGCTGGGCATTGGGGCAGGTGCCTGTAGTCCCAGCTACTTGGGAACTGAGGTACGAGGATCACTCAAGCCTAAGAGTTTGAGGTTGCTGTGAAGTTGTCACTCTATTGAAGGTGACAAAGTGAGACTCTGCCTCAAAAAAAAAAAAAAAAAAAAAAAAGCTATGAAGAAAGAAAGTCTCCTAGGTCGATCATGCAAAATGGAAAAGTAGACAAAAACCACCAAAAAAACCCCAAAAGAATTATATTCAAAACTAAAGAGTAAACAACAAAATAGAAAAAAAACTGCAACATACAGGATAAAAAGACCTTAATATGTAAATCACCTTTAAATAGTAATAGGATAAAGATGAACAGTGTTTTGGGGGTTTTTTTGAGACAAAGTCTTACTTTGTCACCCTTGGTAGTGTACCATGGTGGCATCATAGGTCACAGCAACCTCAAAGTCTTGGGCTCAAGTAATCTTCCTGCCTCAGTTTTTCATTTTTAGTAGAGACAGGGTCTCATTCTGGCTCAGGCTCGTCTAGAATTCCCAAGCTCTATCAATCCACCTGCCTCTGCCTTCTAAAGTGCTGGGATTACAGGTGTGAGCCACTGCGCCCAGTTGGAAAAAGATAAACATCTTTAAAAAAATAGGCAAAAGGCACAAAGCAATAATCCACAAAATCAATCAGAATGGTCAATGAACATAGGAAAAAAATATACAACCTCACAGATAATCAAAGAAATTAGAATTCAAATAAAATATTGCTTTCTAATTGGTAAATAATCTTAAAAATTCACAGTATTCAGCTTGGCGCCTGTGGCTCAAGCAGCTAAGGCACCAGCCACATACACCTAATGTGGTGGGTTCGAATCCAGCCCGGGCCCGCCAAACAACAATAATGGCTGCAACCAAAAAATAGCCGGCCCGCCAAACAACAATAATGGCTGCAACCAAAAAATAGCCGGGCATTGTGGCGGGCGCCTGTGGGCCCAGCTACATGGGAGGCTGAGGCAGGAGACTCGCTTGAGCCCAGGAGTTGGAGGTTGCTGTGAACAGTGAAGCTAT